ATAGCCCCGATCAACCCCACTCCCCCCGCTCTCTCCCCATAGCCCCGATCAACCCCACTCCCCCGCTCTCTCCCCATAGCCCTGATCAACCCCACTCCCCCGCTCCCTCCCCACAGCCCCGATCAACCCCACTCCCCCACTCTCTCCCCATAGCCCTGATCAACCCCACTCCCCCGCTCTCTCCCCATAGCCCTGATCAACCCCACTCCCCCGCTCTCTCCCCATAGACCTGCAAAGTTGTCCTCCCCAAATAATTATCTGCTTCTCTCTTAAAAGTGGTTATCAAATTGGCTCCCACCAGCCTTTAAGGCAATGCATTCCAGATCCCAACCCCTCGCTGTGTGAAAACATTTCTCCTCCCCTCCCCTCTTTCTTTTAACAACTATATTAAATCAGTGCCTTCGGGTTACCGACCCACCCGCCAGTGGAGATAGTTTCTCCTGTTCACCTTATCAAATCCCCTCATCATTTTGAAAACTTCTATCAAGTCTCCTCTTAACCTTCTCTGCTCCAAGGAGAGTAATCCTCACTTCTCTAACCTCTCCTGATAACTGAGGTCCCTCATTCCTGGTGCCATCCTGGTCAATCTCCTTTGCTCCCTCTCCAATGCCTTGACATCCTTCCTAACGTGTGGAGCCCAGAACTGAACCCAGTCTCGAGCTGAGGCCTCACCAGTGTTTTATATAAAGGTTCATCATGACTTCCTGACTTGTGTATTCTATGCCCCTATTTATAAAGCCTTGCATCCCGGATGCTTTTTTAACAGCTTTATCTACCCCAACATCATCTTGGAGGCTAAACACAATCCTAATATCCTTTTTTCCACCACCCACTACCTCCTCCGTGGCTCCCCCTCAGGTCCCTCAATCCTCACATCCAATGCCAAGTGCGAGGAGATCATGGACCTCTTTTCATCTAAAATACACAACATCCGCCAGGCAGCCTCATCCTCCTGCCTCTTGTCACCCACACCACGCCCTCTCTGCCCCCCTCACCCTCCCCATCATCTGCTCCTACCACCACCCCCATCCTACATTCCTTCCTCCCCATCTCTCCCTCCTCCCTCTCACCCACCATCACCTCCATGAAACCCACCACCTGCCGCCTCGACCCCCTCCCCACCAACTTTCTGGTCACACAGCTCCCCCTCCTCTGCCCACTACTGGCTGATGTCATCAACAAGTCCGTCTCCTCTGGATCAGTCCCTGACCCCCTCAAAACTGCTGTCATCAACCCCCTCCTCAAAAAACCCTCCCGAGATCCCTCAAACCCCGGCCACTATCGCCATATATCTAACCTGCTCTTCCTCGCAAAACTCCCAGATCGCGTTGTTGCCAACCAACTCCACGCACACCTCTCCTCCCACTCCCTCTTCGAACCCCTCCAGTCCGGTTTCCGCCCACCGGACAGTACAGAGACTGCACTTGTGAAAGTCACAAAAGACATCCTCTCTATCTGTGACCGGGGCTCCCTCTGCCTCCTTGTCCTCCTGGACCTCTCCGTCGCGTTCGACACAGTCGATTACTCCATCCTCCTCCACCGCCTTTCCTCCATCATCCACCTCAGTGGGACCGCACTCGCCCGGTTCGAGTCCTACCTCACAAACCGCCAGCAGTACATCTGCACAAACGGCTTCTCCTCCCGCTCTCACCTGGTCACCTGCGGGGTACCCAAGGATCCATCCTTGGCCCCCTCCTCTTTCTGATCTCTGTGCTCCCTCTTGGGGATGACATCCGCAGACATGGGGTACATTTCCACATGTATGCGGACGACACCCAACTCTGTTTTTCCACCTCTCTGCGCCTCCCAGTCCCCTGATGTTCTGTCAGCTGCCTGTCAGACCTCAGGGGTTGGATGAGTGCAAATGTCCTCAGCTGAATGTTGACAAGATGGAAGCCACACTCTTTGGCTCTCGTCAACATCTAAAATCTCATGGTTTTCACCTCCTCCACCTACCCGACCTCCCCCGAAACTCGCCGAACCCTTACGCAACCCAGGCATCAGGTTCGACCCCCAATTGTCCTTCCTCAACCACATCTGGTCCCTCAGCACTGCTTTCTTCCACCTCCGACGTATCGCCCGTCTCCGCCAATATCTCTCCCCAAAAGCCACTGAAACCCTGGTCCAGGCCTTTGTCACCTCTCGGCTGCACTACTCTAACGCCCTCCTCACCGGCCTCCCCTCCACTGCCATCCATCAAATCCTGATCATTCAAACCTCTGCCGCCCGCATTCTCACCCACACCAAACCCCTCTCCCCGATCCCCCCAGTCCTGGCCCTCCCCCCACACCCAAACCCCCTCCCCGATCCCCCCAGTCCTGGCCCTCCCCCCACACCCAAACCCCACTCCCCGATCCCCCCAGTCCTGGCCCTCCCCCCCAAACCCCACTGCCCGATCCCCCAGTCCTGGCCCTCCCCCCACACCCAAACCCCACTCCCCGATCCCCCAGTCCTGGCCCTCCCCCCACACCCAAACCCCTCTCCCCGATCCCCCCAGTCCTGGCCCTCCCCCCACACCCAAACCCCACCCCCCCCCCCCTCCCTCCCCCCACACCCAACCCCACTCCCCGATCCCCCAGTCCTAGCCCTCCCCCCCACCCCAAACCCCACTCCCCGATCCCCCCAGTGCTGCCCCCCCCCCACACCCAAACCCCACTCCCCGATCCCCCCAGTCCTGGTCAGACTGCACCGGCTCCTGTCCCGGAGAGGATCCACTTCAAGATCCTCACTCTTGTCTTCAAATCCCTCCACTCCTCTGCCCCTCCGACCTCTCTGACCTCCTCTCTCCTCACAACAGTACCCGTTGCCTTCGTTCCTCAGGTCTGACCTCCTCCTCGTCCCCCGAGGCCTCCGCTCCCCCATCGGTGGCTGTGCCTTCAGCCACTGCGTCCCGAGGCTCTGGAACTCCCTCCCTCACTCCCTTCCCCTCACCCCCTCTCTTCCATTCTCAGGTCTCAGCTGAAGACCTTTCTTTTCGACCTTTGGTCACCTCCCCCCCTCCCCCAGGCTCCTCCCCCTCCCCTGACTCCTCCCCCTGACCCCTCCCCTGGCTCCTCCCCTGACCCCTCCCCCTGGCTCCTCCCCCAGACTCCTCCCCTACCATGGCCCCTTCCCCTCCCCTGGCTCCTCCCCCTCTCCTGGCTCCTCCACCTCCCCTGGCTCCTCCCCCTCCCCCTGGCTCCTCCCCCTCCCCTGGCTCCTCCCCCTCTCCCTGGCTCGGCCCCGGGATCCGTTACTGAATCCCTCTGAGACGCCGTCCGGTGTGGAGGGCACTGTATACATCCAAGTTGTTGTTGTTATTGTTATCTCCCTGTCCGGCCACCTTCAGAGATTTACTATATGACCCCCAGGTCTCTCTGTCCCTTCACCCCTTTAAGATTGTCCCATCAGCTTATATTCCTCTCCTCATTCCTCCTCCCAAAATGGATCACTTTGCATTTCTCCCCATTAAACTTCATCTGCCCCGTGTCTGCCCGTGTTACCAGTCTGTCTATGGCCATTTGCAGTCTGTTACTATCCTCCGCACTGTTTACTGCTTTTCCAGCTTAGGATCATCTGCAAACTTGGGAATTGTCCTCCTATACCCAAGTCCATGTCATTTTTCTGATGTTCCTCAGGAACACACACTGTTAGTACTGGGGTCATTTGAGGACTCTTTGTTAATGCGGAGTCCTGTAGCTCAGTGGTTAGAGCACTCGCTTTGTAAGTGAGAGACCTGAGTTCAATTCCAGGCAGAGGGCGAAACCTTGGGCAAGTTTCCTTACTCCACACAGAGCCTAATAACAATCCCTCCAAAACCAAAAACAATAATAAATTGGTCATTTTCAATCCATGACTGTTTGTGGGACATTGCTGTGCGCAATTGGCTGCCGCGTTCGCCCACAAATATACAGTCAATTCAGTTTACAATGTGTTCTGTGAAGCGCTTTGGGACGTCCTCCCGACGTGAAAAGCGCTATATCAAATGCAAGGATTATTATTATTATTATTATTATTATTATTATTATTATTATTTATATGGATCAAAAACAGCAGTGGCCCCAATACTGACACCACTCCACACTTCCCTCCATTGTTATTGTTGAAAATATTGAGGTCACGCAAAATTGTGGTTATATAGTGCTTGGTTTTGTCAGATCTCTGCACTTAAAACACTAACCTGCCATTTCAGCATCAACTGACAGAAAATATCTTACCCAAAGGCTGGGATTGTTCTTCTTAGAGCAGAGAAGGTTAAGGGGAGATTTAATAGAAATGTTCAAAATTATGAGGGGTTTTGATAGAGTAGATATGGAGAAACTGTTCCCATTGGCAGGTGGGTCAGCGACAAGGGCACATAGATTTAAGATAAATGACGAAAGAACCAGAGGGGAGATGAGGAGAAATGTTTTATACAGAGAGTTGTTACAATCTGGATGCATTGCCTGAAAGGTGATGGAAACAGCAATAACAACTTTCAAAAGGAATTAAAAAGGAAAAATGTGCAGGGCTATGAGGTGAGACCGGGGAATTGGGACTGATTGGGAAGCTCTTTCAAAGAGCTGGCATGATGGGCTGAATGGCCTCGTTCTGTGTTGTAAAATGCTATGATTCTACTGTGGAGTCCTGTAGCGTAGTTGTTACAGCATTCGCCTCGCAAGCGAGATGACGTGGGCAGGGCAAAACTTTAGGCAAGTTTCCTTGCTCCACACGTCTCTGTTTACCTAGCTGTAAGTAAGAACACAGTTGTTAGTCGATCGGTGGTTCGCTTTCCGGGGGTAATAATCTCTTCAAAAACATTTTTTTATAGATAATTATTTGGTCACTCAATCCATGACTTTGTGGGACGCTGCTGTGCACAATTGGCTGCCGCGTTTCGTCCACAAATTATACAGTCACTACACTTTACAATATATTCTGTGAGGCACTTTGAGATGTCTCAAGGATGTGATTAGGCACTATATCAAATGCAAGGAATATTATTGTTATTATTTCAGGGCTAAGCAGGTTTAGCTTGTTGTTCTCAGGCTGACTGTGCGGTGTTGGTGGTTGCGGCTGGAGTGGGAGAGTTTGAAGCCGGGATTTCTAAGAACGGCCAGACTCGGGAGCACGCACTCCTGGCCTACACCCTGGGTGTCAAACAGCTGATCGTGGGAGTCAACAAGATGGACTCCACCGAGCCTCCGTATGGACAGAAGAGGTACGAGGAAATTGTGAAGGAAGTCAGCACCTACATCAAGAAAATCGGTTACAACCCCGAGACGGTGGCCTTTGTGCCTATCTCAGGCTGGCACGGTGACAACATGCTGGAGGCCAGTGCTAATGTAAGTGGGAACGACTTCTGTAGCTTAGTGGAGTCCTGTAGCTCAGTGGTTAGAGCACTCGCCTGGCAAGCCAGAGGTCCTGGGTTTGATCCCTGGCAGGGCAAAATCTTAGGCTCCACACGCTTCTGTTTACCTAGCAGTAAGTAGGAACCCAGGTGTTAGTAGATTGACTGATCGCTTTTCCGGGAGTAATAATCTCTTCAAAATAATAATTTGGTCACTCAATCCACGGCTGTTTGTGGGACTCTGCTGTGCACAATTGCTGCCGTGTTTCGCCCAGAAAATACACAGTCACTACAATTTACAGTATATCTTATGAAGCGCTTTGGCATCTTGAAGACGTGATAAAGCGCTATATAAAATACAAGGATTATTATTATTAATTCCAAGTAAAAGAAATATAATAATCCTTGCATTTGACATAGCGCCTTATCATATCTTCAAGATGTCTCAAAGCGCTGCACAGAATACACTGTAAAGTGAATTGACTGTATATCTTGTGGATGAAACGCGGCAGCCAATTCTGCACAACAGTCCTACGACAGCCGTGGATTGAGCATTATATTACTATATTATATATAGTATTTAATAATTCCCCTGGTTACATTATGTCACTCCACTAAACAACTGCATCATATCCCATTGTCTCCCTTTGCTCCAGTATGGGTGTGGATGTTTGTGTGTGTGTGTGTGTGGGGGGGGGGACTGTGTGTGTAGGGAGTGTGTGGAGTCTGTGTGTGTGTGTGTGTGGGGGAGGGTGGGGGTTCTTTGGGAGGGTGTATTTGGCATGTGTATGTTTGGATGTGGGTGGGGGTCTGTGTAAGGGGGTGGTGCATGTGTTTAACCTGCCCCTCATCATGCCTGTGTTGTTCCTGTGTTATATGCTGTACTTTACTATGCCTGAGGTGTGTTACACACAGATGAGCTGGTTTAAAGGCTGGAAGATTAACCGTAAGGACGGTAGTGCTAACGGAGTGACTCTGTTGGAGGCTCTGGACTCTATCCTGCCTCCCCAGAGACCCACCGAGAAGCCACTGAGACTGCCTCTCCAGGATGTCTACAAGATTGGCGGTAAGTCTCTCTATGTGCTCGCCTTTAAAACCCTCCAAAGCACTTGATGTGGAGAAAAGCCATCAATTAGTTACTAAGATGATCAGTTCTGTGTACAGGGAGTAGTCTCCAACCAATCCCCCCCCCCCCGAATCCGATGAAGAGATTTAATAATAATAATAAAGCCTTGTGTTTGATATAATAATAATAATAATAATCCTTGCATTTGATATAGCGCTTTTCACGCCGGGAGGACGTCCCAAAGCGCTTCACAGAACACACTGTAAAGTGAATTGACTGTATATTTGTGGGCGAACGCGGCGGCCAATTGCGCACAGCAATGTCCCACAAACAGTCGTAGATTGAAAATGACCAATTTATTATTGTTTTGTTTTGGAGGGATTATTATTAGGCTCTGTGTGGAGTAAGGAAACTTGCCCGAGGTTTCGCCCTCTGCCTGGAATTGAACTCAGGTCTCTCGCTCGCAAAGCGAGTGCTCTAACCACTGAGCCACAGGACTCCATAACGCCTTATTCATCTCCCAGACTTCTCAAAGCACTTCACAGAATATACTGTAAAGTATAGGTAGTGGCTGTATTTTGTGTGCAAAACACGGCTGCCAATTGCGCACAGCAGAACCCCTACCCTCATGTTTCCCCCATCACAGTAGCCAGCTGCTATTTAAACAAGTCCCAGTGTCCTGCCCTCAACCCCCCTACAACTCCCCCTTTCCCGTTAACTGTTATCTTACAATCCGTGTGCTCTGGGTCACTACCCTGCGTGAGGGGCGTTATATAAATGTAAAGTTGTTGTTGTGCAGATTCATCAGTCAGCCTGACTCAGTTTCACCTCTCACTTCTGAGCCAGAAGGTTGTGAGTTCATGCCTCAAATCAGGACTTGTAAGTCCAGGCTGACCCTGCAGCTCAGTGCTGGGAGAGCATGGCGTTGTCAGAACTGCCATCCTGCAGATCAGCCATTAAGTAATATCCTGTCTGCACCTTGTTCAGGTGATAATGTTGGAAATGAGATAAAAATGGATATTTACTTCATGTCTGTTTGTGGGATATTGTGTGAAAACAGCCTGATCGCCAACAAAATCCAATCACTACACTTTACCATAAATGGTACAATAACAATCCTTATCACGTCATCGAGATTCAAAGCGCTTCACAGGATTTACTGTAAAGTGTAGCGACTGCCAGTTGTGTACAGCAGTGTCCCACAAACAGTTGTGGACTAAGTGACCAATTTTATATGGGGGGTTGTTGGCCAGGACATTGGGAGAGAGAAACTCCCTTCTCTTTTCGAATAGTGCCACAGGATCTTTAACATCCACTTGAACAGGTACAGACAGGAGCTCGGTTTAACATCTCATCTGAAGGACGTTGTCTCTGACAGTGCGACGCTCCCCCATCCTTCGCTGGAGTTTTAGCCTAGACTGTGATTCCTGACATGGGGCTTGAACCCATAACATTCAGAGGCTAGTTTGCTGCCCGGCTGACAAGGCTAAGGTGCTATGAGGTGTTCAGGTATTACGATATGATAAGGCCTGGGATGCTATGCTATTGGCCAGCTTGGATGACTATCTAATTCAGGTGAGCGGTTTGGGACGTCCTCTCAACATGAAAGGCGCTGTAGAAATGTAACGTGTTGTTGTTTGCAGGGATAGGCACTGTGCCAGTAGGCCGTGTGGAGACAGGTATCCTGAAGCCGGGAATGGTGGTAACATTTGCTCCTGTTAACGTCACCACGGAGGTGAAGTCTGTGGAGATGCACCACGAGGCCCTGACCGAGGCTCTGCCCGGAGACAACGTCGGCTTCAACGTCAAGAACGTGTCCGTCAAAGATATCCGCCGCGGCAACGTGGCCGGCGACAGCAAGAACGACCCACCAGTGGAGGCCGCCAACTTCACTGCACAAGTCAGTCTCCCCTTTGCTGTTTCTCCCCAGTTCACTTCTCCGCTCTCTGGCTGTGGCCTTAGCTCACTGGGGAGATGAGAGCCTGGAAGGACAGGTTCATGTGGTGTCCAGGCAGGTGGCAGTCCAGGACTCGGGCACAAGGCATTGCCGAACATGCTGTCATACAATCACAGCATCTTACAGCACAGAAGGAGGCCATTCAGCCTGTGCCGGGTCTTTGGAAGAGCTTCCAATTAGTCCCACTCCTCTGCTCTTACCCTGTAGTCCTGCACATTGTTCCTTTTCAAGTCCCTACCCAATTCCCTTTTAGAACATAAGAACATAAGAATTAGGAGCAGGAGTCGGCCATTCGTCCCCTCGAGCCTGTGCCCCGCCATTCAATAAGATCACGGCTGATCTTCAGACCTAACTCTAATTACCCGCCCTCTCCCCATATCCCCTAATCCCTCTGTTTTTCAAGAATCTATTAGTCTCAGCCTTGAAGATGTTGAAGGACTGACATCTACAGCCTTCGGGGGGAGTGGATTCCATAAAGTCACTGCCCTCTGAGTGAAGAAATGTTTCCTCAACTCTGCTCTAAAAGGCTGACCCTTAATTTTCAGACTGTGACCCCCGGTTACAGATTCTCCCACCGGGGAAACAGACCCTCAGTGTCTACTTTATCCGCCCTTTAAGAATCTTATATGTTTCAATAAGATCTCCCCTAATTCTTCTGTACTCCAGAGAATACACCTTAGTTTATTCAGCCTCTCCTCATAGGTCAGTCCCCTCATCCCAGGCACTAACCGAGTGAATCTACGCTGCACCCCCTCGAGGGCAAGTATGTCCTTTTTTAAATAAGGAGACCAACACTGCACACAATACTCTCGGTGCGGTCTCACCAAAGCCCTATATAGCTGCAGCGAGACTTCCCTACTCTTGTACTCTAAACCTTTGGCAATGAACGCTAATATGCCGTTCGCCTTCTCAGTTGCTGCTGAACCTGCAAACTAACTTTTTGGGACTGGTGTACACGGACACCCAAATCCCTCTGAACACTAACACTGTCTAATCTCTCCCCCTCTAGAAAATAATCTGTTCTTTTATTCTTGCTGCCGAGGTGAATAACTTCACACTTCCCCACATTAAATTCCATCTGCCACCGACTCGCCCACTCCCCTCGCCTGTCTATATCCCATTGCAATCTTTTTGCATCATCCTCAGAGCTCACTCTCCCCCTGAGTTTAGTGTCATCCGCGAACTTAGATACATTACATTCAATGTCCTCGTCCGGATCATTGATGTCAATGGTAAATAGCTGAGGCCGAGGCACTGATCCTTGTGGCACTCCACTAGTTACATCTCCTGCCAATTCGAGAATGATCCGTTTATCACTACTCTCTGCTTTCTACCCGATAGCCACTCTTCTATCCATGTTAATATTGTCCCATTAATCCCGTGGGCCTTGATCTTGAGTAACAGCCTTTTGTGTGGCACCTTGTCAAATGCCTTCCTATAATCCAAATATACCACATCTACTGGTTCCCCCTTCTCCAACCTCCGATACATCCTCAAACAATTCTAAAAGGTTAGTCAAACACGACTTCCCTCTGTAAAGCCGTGTTGACTCTGCCTAATCTTTTCATGGTCTTCCAGGTATCCCATAACTACGTCTTTTATTAAGGACTCAAGAATTTTCCCTACAACTGACGTCAAACTAACTGGTCTATAGTTTTCCCTATTTTCTCTCCCACCCTCTTAAGTAGTGGAGTTACGTTTGCAATCTTCCAATCAATGGGAACTTTTCCAGTATCCACAGACTTTTGGAAGATTATAGACAAGCCATCCACTATCTCAGTAGCCGCCTCCTTTAAAACTCTCGGATGCAGGCCATCCAGTCCAGGGGATTTATCAGTTTTAAGACCCGACAATTTACCGAGAACCATCTCTTTACTAATGTTAATTTCCCTAAGTTGCTCACTAACATTGTCTTCTTGGTCCTCTATTTTTGGTATGTTTCCAGTGTCTTCCATGGTGAAGACTGTAGAAAAATACTTGTTTAATGACTCTGCCATGTCTTTGTCCCCTATTATAATTCCTCCAGTCTCTCCCTGTAATGGACCCACATTCACCCTCGCTCGCCTTTTCCTCTTTATATATTTGTAAAAACTCTTGGAGTCTGTTTTTATGTTCTTTTGAAAGCTATTATCAAATCTGCTTCCATCCTCCTTTCAGGCAGTGCCTTCCAGACTGTAACAACTCTCTGGGTAAAAAAACTGTCTCCTCATATCCACTCTGTTTTTTTTGCCGATTATCCTACATCTGTGTCCTCTGGTTACTGACCCACCTGCCTGTGGAAATAGTTTCTCCTTATCTACTCTATCAAAACCCCTCATCATTTTGAGCACCGTGATTAAATCTCCCCTTAAACCTGTCTGCTCTAAGGAAAACAATCCCAGGCTTTGGATGAGATATGAAAGCAAGCTCCTGTCTATTAGTTGTTGTGAATGTTAAAGAATCCGTGAGGTATTGGAAAGCACAGTGTGTCCCCATACTCTTGGCCAACAATCCCCCACATACGTAGATGTTCACATCACGGCTGTTTGTGGGAACCGCCATCTTTGTCTAGAAAGATGGTCACTTCATGTGATAGATATTACTGTAGGGTAAGAAATTCCTTTCATGTCTAGATTTACTCCACAAGTAATAATAATGATAATCCTTGCATTTGATATAGCGTCTTATTACGTCTTCAAGACGACTCAAATACTGGAGTGTAGTGGTTAGAGCACTCGCCTTGCAAGTGAGAGGACCTGGGTTTGATTCCCGGACAGGTCAAACCTTAGGCAAGTTTCCTTACTCCACACACCTCAGTGTACCTAGTAGTAAGTAGGAACCCGAATGTTAGTTGATAATTTGGTCACCTAATCAACAACTGTTTGTGGGACACTGCTGTGCCCAATTATCTGCTGCGTTTCGCCAAACAAAATATACATTACATTACATATATTCTGTGAGTGCTTTAAGACGTCCTGAAGACATCATAAGGGGTAATAACAAATGCAAGGATTATTATTAAGGATTATTATTTCAGAGTCCAGATTTTGGCAAAACCTTCAATTTGAATCTGGTTTTTAATTACTTCAGTACAGTAATCCAACGTCAGAGTTAAGACTAAATTCAATCACTTTCCAGATTCTGGATGTTCTAAACTGCTGTGTTTGATAGAGTGAATCTGGACCGAGTGGGATTTCTCCTCAAAGGTGCTATAAAAATGCTCCCTCTCATCTAGGTTACCCAGAGGGGATGTCAGTGCTCTGAGGTGTTATCCTATGTGAAGGGCGCTATGTAAATTGAGATGTTTGTTGCTGATGTTACACAATGCCATCAGTGTGCCCAGCCTAACTCAGGCTCCTGGTGAGACTTGCCTTGTTCTCACAAAAGCGAGCCCGGTTTGTATTGAAAAGAAACAAGCCAGAAATCTGAGCTAACACTGTGCACAACAAATTACATTACATTTACACAGCACCTGCCTTTCACATCAAGAGGATGACCCTGGACAATGAGGGATTTGGACCCAAGCAGGGGGTTAGGATCAGGAGGGATGGAGGGCAGGGATGGTAGGGGCAGGAAGGTGGCCAAAGTTGCGGTCAAAGAGGAGGATCTTGAGACATACCGTAAAGGAGGCAAGGGATGGAGCAAGGCGAAGGGACAGAGGAAGAGTGTTCCAGAGTGTTCGGGGCAGAGGGGCTAAAAGTGAGGCCACCGATGATGGAATGGAGCGTACGAGGGACATGCAGGAGGCCGGAGCCAGTCGAGTGGAGGCAACAGGTTCCGAGTTGGGGGATAAGCAGGTCAGAGAGGTTGGGAGGTGCCAGGGCATGAAGGGATTTGAAAATGAATGTGAGGATCTTGAACTTAATCCGTTCGGCAATAGGTAGTCAGTGGCTAGAACTGGTGTGATGGGGTATGGAGTTAAGTGTGTGATAGAGAGCCAGTGGAGCTTGGCGAGGGCTGGTGTGATCGGGGTACAGAGTTTAGTGTGTGTGATAGGGAGCCTGGCAAGGACTCGTATAATGGGGGTACGGAGTTCAGTACGGGTGAGTGTGCGGGCAGTGGAGTTTTGGGTCAGCTGCATTTTGTGGGAGAGCAGGGAGGAGGAGGGAGATAGGGTTAGGTTAGGAGAATCTCACTGTTCTCTGGCTGTGTTCAGGTGATTATTCTGAACCACCCTGGGCAGATCTCCGCGGGCTACGCTCCGGTGCTGGATTGCCACACCGCTCACATTGCGTGTAAATTTGCCGAGTTGAAGGAGAAGATCGATCGTCGCTCTGGGAAGAAGCTGGAGGACAACCCCAAATTCCTGAAGTCCGGCGACGCTGCCATTGTGGAGATGATCCCTGGCAAAGCCATGTGTGTGGAGAGCTTCTCGGAGTATCCTCCTCTGGGTAAGTCAGGCTTTACCAAACATCTCTCTTACATATGACAGGAGCCCCTCGGCTCCTCCTGCCTCTGTGACCTGCCAACTCCATGTCAACCTGTCCTCTCCCTCTGCTCAGCGGGCTCCAGCTTGCTCCACATCCTCCACTCAACCATCCCCCGCCACCATCAGCAGCCAGGCCTTCAGCCCCTCTGCCCCACCCTCTGGAACTCCATCCAATAGTCCCTTCACCTCACTTCCTTGCCTCCTTCAAGACCCTCCTCTTCGACTACGCCTTTGATCACCCTCCTATCTCCTGCCCTCCAATCCTCCTCATCCCAGCCCCCAGCTCGGGTGCAAATCCCTGACTGTCCAGTGCCTTGGAACATCCTCCCGACTTGAAAGGTGCCGTGTAAATGTCACTTATTATTGTGAAGTTAATGGTGCTCCACTGGTGAGTGTGAGAGTGTGGAATGACAGGCTGTTTGTTTCAGGGCGCTTTGCGGTGCGTGACATGAGGCAGACTGTGGCGGTGGGTGTTATCAAAGGGGTGGAGCGGAAGGCCACTGGTACTGGCAGGGTCACCAAGTCTGCCCAAAAGGCCCAGAAAAACAGATGAAGTCCACATCGCCTAGCTGCCACCTCAGGCTGCTCTCTCGTGCCAGCGGGAGACATCATAACCATAGTTTGCCATTTAAGCTCCATTTTAAAAGACTGGTTAATGATCAAAATGCATCGTAAATGCTTCCGAAGGAAAGGATAGTGAACCGTTTATTTCATTAATCTGTGCTGTGGCAGTTTTAAGTTATTAGTTTAAAGCTGTACTTTGTGAGAACCAATAATTCTGTCACAGAATTCAACTATTAAAGACTTGCATTGAAAATGTCTCCTTTTACACCAGTAGATAATAATAATCCTTGCATTTGATATCGCGTCTTATCACATCTTCAAGATGTCTCAAAGCATTTCACAGAATACACTGTAAAGTGAATTGACTATTTTGTGGGCGAAACGCGGCAGCCAATTGCGCACAGCAGTGTCCCACAAACAGTCGTGGATTACTGTTATATAAACAGATATGTGTCGGGTAAGGAAACTTGTCCAATGTTTTGTCCTGTCCAAGAATTGAACGCAGGTCATCTCGCTTGCAAGGCGAGTGCCCTAACCACTAAGCTGCATTACTGCACTAATCTCTGCCCTGAGGGGGGGGCTTATTGTGGGTAAAATAACCATCTACATTTAGGCCCACATTTATTCTATTAAGGTGACGTTTCAGATCGTCCAGAACTTGTCAAATTATGAATCATTTTAATCCTTGTTCTGCAAATTCTTTCATGAAATACTTTTATGAAAAACTGGCTCTATAGTTAAAACCGAATTTAATAGTTTTTGCCACCCTCAAAAATGCAATTTTAGTAGAGTAAATTTAGACACAGGTGACAATTTATCCTGTGTGTCTGGTTTTCTGTTTATTTAAAAAAAAGTACCTGTGTGTGTGTGTCTGCATGTGTCTTTCACTCTCACTGAATGTATGTGTGTGTGTCTGTGTGCATGTCTGTGTGTGTGTCTGTGTGTGTGTCTCTCTCTCTGAAGGACTGTGGGTGTATGTGAATGACTTACACCTGTTCTTATGTGTGTGTGGGTGTTTCTGTGAATGTGTGTGTGTAGGTGAAACATCTGGGGAGGAGTCAAAAGCAAATGGATGCACAGGGGGGACAGGGATGAGTATCAATGCAGTTGCTTTGGGGACACAAGTCGAGGGAGTAGACAGACGTTTCTGCAATCAAAAACGTGCATGATATGTTGCCTCCCTTGTGCCAGGATTCAAAACATCACATAACGGTTGCAAAATGTTCTCTCGGGGTTCGAGAAGGGAGTGGCGGGAGAGGAAGGAGCAAAGCTGAGAAGCAACAACTTGTTCCAGGACCTTGGCAAGGAAAAGGAGGTTGGCGATAGGGCGGTAGTTTGGGAGTAGAGAAGGGTCTAAGGAGAGTTTTTTAAGGATAGGAATGATTTTTTTTAAAGGGATGGGAAGAGTACCGGAGGACAGGGAGAAGTTAATGAAGTCAGTGAGCAGAGAGGCAAGGAGTTGGAGCTGGGAGGTAAGGAGGGGTTAGGGATGGGGTTGGGGGAGCATGTGGTCGATTTCATACGTGTTGTGGTGATGAGAGAGGAGGGGGAGGCAGGTTCAAAGGTGAGGAGGGAGGGGTGGGTAGGTGCTGGGGTGGGAGCAGAAGATGCAGGGGCAGCTGAGCGGATTCCCTCGACTGGATTTGAGGAAGTTCAGCATCGGCTCGCATTTGGCATTTGAGTTGAGGACGGGTGAGGTGAGAGGGTGGGCGGAGGAGTCGGTTCAGTATTCAGTGTAAAATGAATTGGCTGTATATTTGTGGGCGAAACGCGGCAGTCATTTGCGCACAGCCGTGTCGCACAAGCAGCCATGGAGTGAAGTGACCAATTATTATTGTTTTTGTTTTTTTCTTGAGGGATTATTACTGCTGGTAGACAGGCGTGTGGAATGAGGAAACTCGCCCAAGGTTTTGCCCAGCCGGGAATGGAACCCATATCTCTCACTTGCGAGGCGAGTACACTAACCACTGAGCTACAGGACTTCAACGTGTCTACAAGCACTTCACAGGATATACTGTAAAGTGAATTCACTGTACATTTTGTGGGGAAAAGGTGGCAGCCAATTATAAAGAGCAACATTTTAAAGTTTGCAGATGATACGAAACTTGGGCTTCAAACTTGTACAACGGATGTGAGGATTTGATGGGCCAGACACGTCAGGAGGTGGTCACCCCACCCCACACACCCGAGAGTTCAGACGGAAAATGGCTGTGTGACTGTCCGGCATGGTAGGAAGAGGGGACGGGTTGGGCAGAATGCCCCCAATTGTGTTGCTCTCTCAAACCGGTACTCTGTACTGAACATTGAGAGTGTTGATATCTCCAGGGAGAACAGTAAAAACAGATTGGTTGAACAGGAGGACATAGGTAACAGGAGCAATGCTGCTGTCAGAGGGTATACAACAGTGAGAGGTATAGACAGGCGTTTCTGTAACAGAAGACGGGAATCAAGGATGGTATGCTGCCTGCCCGGTGCAACAGTCTGAGACATCGTGGAACGGGTGGATAAACTCTTCAGGGGGAAGAAGAACATTCAGAGTGGTGGTCCAGGTTGGGATCGATGATATTGGTGAAAAAAAGGGCTAAGGCTCTACAGGGTGAATATCAAAAGCTGGGGAACATACTAAAGAATAGAACATCCAAGGTGGTGATCTCTGGATCTCGGGAAAATAAGTACCAGAATGACAGGATCAAGCATATGAATGCTTGGCTGGAGAAATGGTCCAGAAAAGAGGGCTTCGGGTTTCTGGATCATTGGGACCAGTTCTGGGGCAGGTGGGACCTGTATCACATGGATGGGTTACACCTTAACAGGGCTGGGGCGAACGTGCTTGCAGACAGGCTAACTAATGGTGTTGGGGAGGGGTTAAACTAGTTTTGAGGGGGGAAGGGAATGCAAAAAACAAAGAGCTAGAAAATGGAGAAATAAAACGGGGGAAGTGCAGAATAAGTCAAGTCGGTCTTGTAGTGCATGTACCTAAATGCACGGAGTTTAGCAAATAAGATTGGTGAGCTGCAGCTCAAGTGGTCACGGGGATACGATGTAGTAGCAGGAACAGACTTGGCTCAAACAAGGACAGGAATGGGGGCTGAATATTCCTGACTATAATGTATTCAGGAGGGATAGGGAAGGAAGTAAAAGAGGGGGTGCGGCATTGTTAATCAAGGATATGGTTATAGCTGTGGAAATGATCGAGGTGCTGGAGGGCCCAAAACGGAATCTATCTGGTTAGAGTGAACGAACAAAAAAGGAGCTGTTACTCTGGAAGGGGTATACTATAGACCACCAAATAGTGGGAAGGAAATAGATGAGCAGATCTGCAAGCAGATCTCAGACAGATGCAAGGCCAATAGTCGTGATAATGGGGGACTTTAATTATCCCAACATAGACTGGCAAAACAACAACGCAAAGGGCAAGGAGGGGGAAAGATTCCTAAAATGCGTACAGGACAACTTTCTTGATCAGTACGTTTCCAGCCCAACAAGGAAGTTCTGGGGAATGAAGTAGAGCAAGTGGAGCAGGTTTCAGTGGGAGAGCATCTGGGCAATAGCGATCACAACATCATTAGATTCAGAGTGCATATGGAAAGGGACAAGGAACCATCTAAGGTGAAGATACTCAACTGGAAGAGGGCAAATTTCTGTGAGTTAAAAAGGGACCTGGCCAAGGTGGACTGGAAAGAAAGATTGGCAGGTAAAACAACTAAAGAGCAGTGGGAAGTCTTCAAGGATGAGATAGCTCACGGACAGAATAAATACATTCCCACGGGTAACATGAAAGGGAATTCTAAAATATTTTACAAACATATCAAGGAAAAAAGGTTAGTCAAAGGTAAGGTGGGGCCAATTAAGGACTAAGGCGGAAATCTTATTGTGGAGTGTTTAGTGTCTGGTCGGCTCTGGTGGCGACGGTCAGTTACACCGCAGTGAGTGACCCACACACAGTGTCCAGTCACCACTGCCCATGTGACTTGATTACCTTTCACACCGGCCCAGTCCCAACCTTGTCCACTGTGGGGGGCACTGACCGCTCTCACTCCACACCGCGGCCACAGAGACACTGACACACTGCGGCCCGAGGGGGTCAGAGGCCCCCAACTGTCTGACACTGACCCCGGCTCAGGTCACGGCACTGACCCCGGCTCAGGTCACGGCACTGACCCCGGCTCAGGTCACGGCACTGACCCCGGCT